ATATATATATATATATATATTCGAGAAATGAAATATGTCGAAAAAGTTATATTACATTAACAGTCACCTTGTCATTCTAAAGTATATATAATATCGTCAATTTAATTGAAAAACCGAAAAAATTTGTTATAAATATTTCAAAAGAGAACATATAATAAATGCTCATGTTTGCCTTTTCAACTATTTTAAATATTTATCATATTGCGAAAAAGTGTGGATAGTATTTATCACATTCTATCAAGTTATTAACTGTTTAATCCGATAATTATAAATCGTAAAAATAATTTACTCCCAAACACAACGATTCCGACGAGATACACTTAACAATTCACTTATTCTATATTAATCATTAATTATGCGTCTATATTTTCTATTGGGTGGAAAAACTTCTTCATCTTCTTCCTTATCAGGTGTGAGGAAAGGATCGTCATATGCATAATTTGGTGCCCATTTCAATAACAACTTTTCAAAAAACTCTTCTAAATTTCTAGCTTCTTGATAAACTTGTGAATCCACCTGAAAAAAGGAATGTAAATAGATGACAATGATAAATAAAAGAATTAAAAATCTTCATCAGCTTACAGGATTGTACGTAAAAGCATTTTTGAACATAAGTCTAATGTCCGCCATAACTTGTCTTAGATCTGTATAATGATCTATATGGTCAGACTTTAATTTATCCCTGATTATATCTAACGCAATTGGCTTCTTGATAATTCGATGATAATCAGTAATCTGAAAATCAAAACATTCATTGAATTATTGATAATCTTGACTTATCAAACATTAACGTTGAGAAAAAATGGTGCTCTTTCGTCGTGCTCCTATCGTGCTTACCTCGCTCGATACAATTTCCCGAAAAGGTAAGCTTTGCTCATATTGACAATAAAGTTCTAAGACAATTCTTTGTGCAATTCGTAATTCCTTAGCGCTCATACCGTTTGATCTTTTTTCACTGTTCGATGTATCGTCCGAACAATCGAGTACATTTGTACACAACATACACTGCCAAGTTTCACTCTCGCTACAAAAAAATACTTAATTAATAATAGTTGAAAGGAAATGCGAGATAAAGATACACTATAAATAGAAAGCTTACTCTGGAAATGATTTTAAACTAGGTATATGACAATAAAGATGGAAGACTTTTGGACATTTATCGCAACACAGTACTGCATCTCCTCCATCCATACATACGGCACACCAATCTTCATTTGGATCGTCCTTCATCACCATAGAAGCGGTTGTACTTTTCGAATTGTCTGCTGGAAGACATGTAAATTGAAATAAAAAGTCTAAGCCGAGTAGGTAAAAAAGAATATAGTTAACATTTTTAAGTTAAAGTGAAATAATATCGAGTTTAACTAACCTGTTGCATTCTCAGCTATCGAGTTTATATCCTCGTCAGTGGAACTATCGACTTGTGCCGAGTCTACCTGATTTTTTTGAGCTTCTGGTATCACTAGGATTCCATTACTATCTAATTTCGCAATAGTGAGCATTAGATCATTCAATGATTTCTGACAAAACTTATCTAAGCTCTTTTCGGTGTCATCCGACTTGCCAGGAGTGGTGACAGGACTAGGTGTTTTGGGTATAGACGAACTGACAGCATGTAACAATGAAACGGTAGCTGAATTTTGCAATTGTGGTGGATTATCACATGAACTGGCACTTACATTGGTGTTAAATTTTTGATTATTGCTAGTCTGTTGATTTCTTAAAGTAATTTTGTATGTATCATTGGTAGGAACTGGTGCGTAAGTAGGTATATGTTGATGTCGAGGCAAGGTATAAGGAAGGCAAGGATTTGCTTGTTGTGGTATATGCCAGCGATGGATGGGATAATTTCCAATATGCTGTGTTGACGGAGAAGTTAAATTACATTGTTGTAAACGTGACGTCACAGGTACAATGGATGTATTTGTTGCTTGATATGTATGAGGTGGTGGTACTTGGACCCTCTGAGGGTTACTATTTGAAGAATATCTATATCCAGGAGAAAATCGGTATGGTACATGATTAGTGGATGTTCGAAACGCTGGATATGGAGGTGGTGGAATAGAATTATGCGCGAGAAGCCCCCGTAAACTTGTGTTCTGTCCGAGTTGATCTAGATTTTGAGCTTGCTGATGTGGATGCGTGGATGAGGTTACTTGTTGTTGGTGACAGGTTCCCAATGGACGTTGTTGATGCATCAATGGAGGTTGTTGCAATCTGTTATTACTATAGTTGACAGAATACGGTATTCGTGGCTGATGTGCTTGTGGCGATGATCGAGGTGACATACTGTGCGGTGCGATATACTGTTGCATATAATTTTGTGATTGTTGAGTATGTTGTTGTTGTTGTTGTTGTTGTTGTTGTTGTTGTTGTTGTTGCTGCTGCTGCTGCTGTGGAAGATGCAGAGACGCTTGTTGCTGATAAGAATTCTGTGGCGCGTTAGTGGATTGTTGTGTTACCATTACAGGTAATGGTAATCCCTGCTGAATGACAACAGGCATAACACCATCAGAGTGAGTA